CCTCCCTCCCTCCCTCCCTCCCTTCCTTCCTTCCTTCCTTCCTTCCTTCCTTTCTTCCTTCCTTTCTCCTACACAACAATAATGACCCCTGGTAAAAGAAAGGTGTAAAAATGGGAAAGTAATATTTAAAGAGTTTTGGGAGAACAACAAATGCCAATCACGAGTGTCCAAAAGACACATTTGTTCCCAAAAGTTTCCCTTTTCCCCTTCTATTTTTTAACTTTGCATCTTACCTGTCTACAGTAGTGAGTGGCTTATCTTTTTCTCATGACAGACAATATTGTGACAGAATAAGGCATCATTAGCAAAAGGGGAAAAATGAAAATAGCTGTGAATCTCCCCATCCCCTTCCCGTGCTCCATTATCTGGCCTCCCCTTTGAAAACTTTCTTGGTTCAAAGGCCACTTCCCAGGGTGCTACCATAATATTGATTTTGCCAATTTGTAAAAGTTTATGATGCTTCCTTTAGTATGCAATAAAACAAGCTATGCATTTTTCCTACTTTCCAAACTCTCATAAAATGTCATGGGAGGCAGAAGGGAATCTGCCCTTGAGCTTGCAGGGTTCCCCTCCAGCTAATATCAGAGTTAACTGGGAGCATGTTCCCTACCCCAGGATCCCATAATAATGTCATAAAACATCTGAAAGTACTTACATGTATGCTCACAGTAATAAAATAAAATAAATCTTTAAGAATCAATGTAACCATAGCAACACAGCTGTCTTGCTGCTTTGCAAAATTAGATTCACAGTGGAAGAAAGCCAGTAATTCTTAGGCCCACTCCATATTTAAGCAGTTAAGTTCTCCATACAGTAAAGCATTATCATTTTTAGCTCAATGAAGGATTTAGATAATTACCTGGTAGAGTTAAGTTAGGAGACTAGAGACAGTCATACACAGGAGACGTGAAAGGGTACACATTTATGTGTTTAAGGAGTGCATCAAAGCTTTCTTGTGTTGATGTTTTATCACAGTCTCCAATACTCTAGTTATTTTTTTATTTGTAACAAGAAAGCCACAAATTATTCATCAGTCTCCTTTTTATCCTAAATTAGTAACATTCAGTACATGAAAGTTGTCTACTCTTCATTTTCATTCTGGAATAATTATATTTCAAACACTTCAGCGTATAACATAAACAAGGCAAAAACTTACGACAAGTCCTGATTTTTTTTTGGCGCACAATATTCCACATATGCCACAAAGGAGAAACTGCAAAAAAAAAAAAAAAATAAATAAGGAAGAAGATGAAGAAGAAGAAAAATTATTCCATATTCAAACATGTGAGAAACCCTAGGTTTTAGTTTATTTTAGTTCACTGCTGACACTTGCTTTAGGAAAGTAACAGTTTTAAATTCCCATTAAAAGTTGGAAAGGACAATGTCTCGTTGTAGAGGAGTAAAATCCAAGACAATACACTCCTCAATGGAAGTTTACTTCTTGCAAAGTTGATAAAGGTAAATGGGATTTAACAAAACTAAAATTAATTTATCAGAAAAACTTGTGAAATGAGTGAATTTAGATTTTTGTTTCTTCCATTTCCTGTTATTGTCTTCTTGTCTCTTTCTATTTTTTCATGGAGAAAGGTATTGTGGTCCTTTGGTTCATATTAAGCAACTAGAACTAGATAGGTTTGACTATGGATAAGGAAACCTGTACGAATAAAAAATAAAGCATCAGACAAAGAGATGTTTCTCTATATTTTATTTGTGCTTCTCCATTCGCTCCAATGGCTCCATTACTCTACCAGAAAGGCTGCACTTAAATATGTTGGACCTTATGGACGGCACACAGTTTCCTAGAAGTAAGAACACCAGTGACATAATTGCCTTGCACAAGTAGCTATACGAAATCCTTTACCAATGTCAAATTATTCGGTTGCCAGCTATTTTTGTTACTATAAAATAGTAAACAATTGAATTTGGATAGAATGATCCAAGGATATGTTGCATATACTTCTGACTCGAGCTAAATCATATAAATAAAATAACATGCATTAATAAGTAGTAAGCTCTGTAAAGGCTCTATATTTGCAAAGAAAATTGTTTCCATTTGGTTTTAAAAAATACTTTTGTTATCTCAAATCAGTACTAAAAGTACGTGGCTATTAGTATTTCAGACAAGGATAGAATTTTTAGGAAATACATATCAAAATATTCTAAGGATTATCTTTAATAATATGCATGTAAAATACATTTTGCTGAAAAATAATGATTAAGGGAAGTTGATATAAAGAAACCCATGAGGAGCATAAAGTATTATAAATCAGGCATTGGTGCAGGAACACAGGTGAAGACATAAAGCTATTTGTAATTTTGTTATATAATTTGTATGAATTTTCAAGTTAATTCAGAAAGGATGAGGATCATTTATTCAATCAATAAAATTATTGAATTTGCTATCATCTAACGTCATGCAACAAAATTAATATGAAGCTGTTTAATTATTTAAAAGCATAAAATTGATAAGCACATTTGCACATAATAAAGTTAAATATTTATATAATTGTGGAGAGGTGGGAATGATTTCTAAATACAGCATTAAAGTCGCAGACCAAAAACAGAAGATACTCACGAATAATAATGGGGAAAATTATAATTTTGTTAATCAAAAATGTCAGTCTCAAAGACAAAGAATAAATTGGAACTATATTGAGAAACTATGCAACAAACCAAGCATTAACGTGTTGTATAAATAGATCGGATACAATATTTATAGTAGTATAAAACCAGAAGATAGAAACTTAGAACTTTATGCATGTTAAACACTTGTTTAATTTTTGTGGTGCTAGTGTTTGACTAAGCTTTATCCTCGGCCCCACCCCCTTTTTTGTTTTATTTTTTGAGCCAGGATCTCCTTAAGTCACTACGTGCTCAGCCCAGGCTTGAATCTGTGATCTACTGCCTTGGTCTCCCAGACTGGTGGCATGACTGGTGGCATAACTCTATGTGCACTGTACTTGCCTTAAAATCCTATTTTTGAGTGGCTCCTCTGAACATTTGTCATTAGCTTTTGTTCCTCACGTGGAGAAGACCTTGCCCTGATGTGTTTTCTTACTCATTGCATTTTGTATACTTCAAGGCTGCAGTCAAACTATCCCAGTTTGAACGAGTTCTGTACCTCTCCATGCTTGAGACTTGAGATCCAAGCCCTAGCATGTCATCTTCTAAACTAACCCTAACTCAGCTTGGAAACCCTTCCACCCAGAATTCATTCTTAAAATGATTTGGTGATAATTTAGTTGTGTATTTCTTAGATCTCTTTCAAAATAAGTAAGTGTCAATATTATTTATTTACAATTAACCTCAAGGGACATTTGGAGCATAGGGAGGGTTCACCTTAGCCTTGTGACTAGAACATCTAAATGCCTCGAAAGAGCTGTTTCCTGTTGTCCACTCAGCTTGAATAGATCTAAGAAATGGAAGTTCAGGAATGAAGAAGCAGAAGGTAGAGTAGGAGGAAAATCAGCAATATTTTCCATTCTCCCACAGCCCTGGAGCATACATGCTGCCCAACAGTTATTCTGTTGGAGTATCCAAAGTCTGTATGGAGAGCCGTATTCTTTTTACAGATTTTCAATAAAAAGTGACACATAATGTGTAAGTATATAAACTCATGAAATTTCTGAGTAGGATCTAAGAAAACTCAGCGTAATTGTGGAAATTTAATTTTCAGAGGAGTAAACTGACCCAAATAGAAAACTGACCTTCTGGCCTGGTGAGATGGCTCAGTGGTCTAAAGCACCTACTTAGAACAAGCTTAGCA